GAGAATAGGGTCAAAAGTATAGGTTCAGAGTAAATGCGATACTCGTTTATTAACAATAAGATAAGGAATATAATGATTTAAATTCACTAGCGAACGTGAATATTACTAACATATAACACACCGACTCTAGCTGAAACTCCTACTGCTTATATATCTTTTGATCGGTCTAATTGATCTATTTTTAGTCGCTATTTCTAATATTCGATTACTATTCTTCTGGTATACGATTAAACTGCGTTTGCACCATTGCTGCAGTGGTGCTGCAGTGGTGAAGCAGTGGTGCGGCAGTGGTGCAGCAGTGGTGCTGTACTACCGTAGCATAAATTCTCGTATCACTGCACCCTGAATTAACTGTACCACGGTTACCGATTTCCGCAGCCGCGCTGGTGTAACTGCCGATTGAAATGTTGCTGCGGCATCGTCGGAGGAACGCAGAAATAGAGGAGAAAATACGTCACTGACTGCGGCGCATCACAATGCTATCAACAAAAAACAAAATCGCGTACCCACCGCCATTACTTTTGTCCAGTACTGTATTCCTGGGCCTGAAGATTATGAAGTAAAGTTGATTTCTTGTGTAATGCCAATGTATAATGTATATGTAATCCCATTTCTGAAAAACAAAGGACATGATCAAAGTCATCTACAGACTCGAAATAAAAAGGCAATAAATCAGACAAGAGGTGGAGCATTTTACTGAACTTTGGTATTAGTATGTCTCTTGAGATTGTTTGACTGGATGATTTTAATTTTTTAAAATTGCAGGATAAATTAGCTGTGACCAAACTAAACCTACTTTGTCACTGTCCAAAAAAGCTTCAGAATGAGAGTAAAACGTTGAAAGTCCTCTCTTTCAAAACAGCATAGCAGCTCAAACCAATGCTATGAAAATAGGTTCACAGCAAGGCAACTCAACAGATAGTACCAGTTTCTCAAGTTTGGTCTTTCAAAGTCTGTCCTTGTTGGTGCTCAGTCAGCCACCAGTGCTTCAGTAGCTTACAAGTCATCAGCAATGCTGCAACAAACAATCATATCCAGTGTTCCGAATGCGTCTCAGGATTCTATGGTTTTGCCACAGAATCATCAAACAAGTGGCATGCCAGCAGCTCCATCTAATCGATTGCTTAACAGTAGTGCTTCTTTGTTCGCCCTTACCAAACAGTTAAACCGTATGCATTGTTTGGTGAGAGTAGTAGATCATTCACCATCAACAACTTCAATGAATATAGGTAGTGGTATACTTGGAGTCTGTACAGACTCCAAGTATACCACTTAGTATGGACTATAACCCACCCGAGAATGACGTGTGTTTTGCTTTTTTCGACACACTCGAGTGACGTG